GTCATTAAAAAACAAAGGAATGTGAATCAATCTGGAGCACTATAACCATTCAGAAAGAGTTTACTATTATAAGCTGAAAGAGAAATAAAATATGGTTCTTTTTCAAGTGACAAGTCCTCTCCAGAACTTCGACTGAATTTTTACCATTTGCCTTCTATTATTATTTTTCTCTCGTGTTTAATTGAAGTTTTGAGTTTTAAACCTGCAACAAGTTGTACCTAGCTGTGGTAAGTAAAGTGCATCATCATGTAACAGGGTAGAATCCACAAACATCCGCATGCCCCAGGCAACAGTATGCAATATAATCAAGAAGGTTCTCAATATGGAAAATTGACACAAGTCACATGTACACAACTTTCTTCCACAAATAGCCATTCAACCATTACATACCTCAAGCATCTGTAGAATGAAACGAGCATTCATATTATTCGTTATGAAAACTTCAATTAAGTCACTATATAGATTTCTGTGTGACTGGACTGTTGACACAGGTGCTTGGAACCTATCATCCCTGTACATTAGAGGGATTATGGAAACCATGAAGATAAGAGGGGTATCTTTTGAAATGGAAATTAGGCACTATTGGCAGGTAGAGCATGATAGGGCGTGGCTACATGGACTATAATGACATAGTGATGTTCCAAGAGCTGGTGGTACGTTCTGTTGACCAGCTGCTTTTTATCAAATATAGCAGTTCAAAATTAGGGATCACTAGTGCAGATAGCCTTTGTTGAACTTTGTGAGAATATTCTAAACAGACAATGCATAAAACTGTAATCCAAATATATAATACTTCTCTTAGCGTTCCTCCCATCCCTTTAATGACTGTTACTCTGAGGGTAGTTGATGTGCCAGAAAAATCAGAGAAACCTTTGATAATTTTTCTGTGACCTTTAATGACCTACCCAACTCATTGTTACATGAATTAAAATAAATCGTTCATTTCATGTTCCATTTGTGAAAAAAAAGTTGTCATACAAAAGAACCCAATACACTGTTGTAAAGAGCAGAGGTTATTATAGTTTAGTGCGTTTACTACAAGTTTTAAGTAAAAGTTTGTTCATAAATATTTAAGGATTTTTGTCATTGACCCTGAATGAAAGCTAAAATATTACACACATGGTGATGATATATTCATCCAGCTGTGTCCTCCACCATCATAAAAACTTCTTTAGAGAATATTCAGCTTTAGGGCCTACACTGTATTTGCCACGCACGAATGATTTAGAACTGTGTTAACAATACAGCTGTACAAAGCTTATAGGAATTGTGGTCTTTAAAATTTCAAAACAGATATTAATGAGAGACCACCCATCTTTGCTAATTAGTGAAGAACAATAAAACTTATGAGATTGTGTATTATTTTTAGTGCGACCAAAAAAAATTCTATATACACTTCTGATTTCATGTAATAATTTCATTTAATAGTCACAAGGTCACTGAAATATTCGAGCTTTTTCAATAAGTTTCAATGTTTTTCCAAACGTCTTTGGTTTGTTTCACGTAGCAAACTTAAAAGTTTTAACTCTTGTTTTACGTATATTCTTGCCCCCACGTAGCACAGGCAGTATGACTGTAGAGTTACAACGCTAGAAACCGTGTTTCGATACCCGTGGTGGGCAGAGCACAGATAGCCCATAGTTAAGTTTTGCGCTTAACTACAAAAATCAACGAACATATATTCACTTCAGATATATATTTATATATATATAATTGGTTGCTTGCTTGCTTTAGAGCAAGGTCACATTGGGCTATCTGCTGTGTCCACTTAGAGGAATCGAACCCGGATTTTAGCGTTGTAGTCCGTAAACATATCGTTTTCCCAGCAGAGAACATATATGTAATTAAACTCTAGAGTAATGCATATCAGAAAAAGGTTGATCAAATTTTACGTTTATGGAAAAATTACCTTTAACTTTCCGTAAATTAAAATATATGCATCAATAGTGCTGTAGTTGAAAGAACCGCTATGTTATTTCTATTTTAGACACAGGTTACGATGTTCACTCTATATAGGCTTATATCTGCCTAACCATACTTTTTGTTCTATCATTCCACTGGTGCAATTCATATTTAAGTCAAGGGGTGATATTGTAATTTGTACAAGCTAGTAAAAGCTGGAATATTTATCCCTCTTGAATGTGAGAATATTTTTGACATTGATAATTTTGGATTGTGGAATAATGTACTAGAGATTCAGTTTGACCTAACAAGTAAGATATGACGATTTTGATTCTTGTGTTTGTTTAGGCATAAGTAAATAAATCTCCCTCTGTTTTATAAGCCAGTTAGTTTTACATAACTGACCATCTAAACCAGCTAGAGAGAGTAGAATTCTAAAGCTTTTATTTGTTTGTTTTTTCATTAGCTTGCATTGCATTTTTATTCATTGTTGTTCATGTTTGGTTTATACAGTGCGAACCACTTTTTATATCTATTGTATATTGCCGATTTGTTTTAGCTTACCTTAAGAAATCAGTATACCTTAATACTACAACAGATATGTATATTATACGCACTTAACCCCCCTCCCCTCAGTGGCACAGTGGTATGTCTGCGGACTTCTACCGCTAGAAACCTGGTTTCGATACTCGTGGTGGGCAGAGCACAGACAGGCCTTTGTGTAGCTTTGTGCTTAACTTCAAAACAATCAACAAACAATCAGTTGGTCTATGAAAACTGGCATTATTATTTTCAAAATGTCATCTAGGAAATAAAAACTGAATAGCGGGATTATAATGCTCTTCCAGTTGAAAGTGTGGAACGTGTTCAGCAGCATATTAAGGCTCGAACCTTGAACCTTTTGATCTTCATTCCAATACGCTAAACACTCGGCCACACCTGGTGCTATATGATAATAACCCTGGATAATGGCAATTCTAAAAATATTTTTATTGAAAATAAATGATTCAAACTGATGCTTAAATATTGAAAGATAATTATTTGGATGTGTTTTTTTGTTTTTTTTTTATTTTCGCGCAAAACTACTCGAGGGCTATGTACGCTATCTGTCCATAATTTTCAAATGACAAACTACAGGGAAGGCAACTAGTCAACATCCTCCGCCGCCAACTTCTGAAACACTTTTTATCAACGAATAGTGGGATTGACCGTTACATAATGCTCCTACGGCTGAAAGAGCGAGCAGGTTCAGCGACAAGTTCCGATATCACGATTCACAGATATGAGTCGTGCGCCCTAACCACCAGGTCGTACCATACCAATTATTTGTAATAATGAAGAAATTGTAATTTAAAGAACTTTAAACTTAATTCATTAAAATGCCACGATATCAGTATTGTTTCGTGTGTATAAAATGACGGTTAAGGGTACTTGTTCATTCTAATAATTATTTTCACTTGATTTGTTTACATTTTATTCTTTTACTGTATTTAATTATTATCGGATTTGGTTGGGCCTTTGCGAACTTTAACAAACCAAAATGAAATATGCTCGTGCTATATGCGTGCTGTATGCAAGTGGAAATCACAAAGGTGATCAAGACTACCAGATGTGACTACTGAGACCCTCTTAACATATATTTTCGATAATGAAGTAGCACACACACACACACACAAAATCACTCTTGTTGTATATTTAGTACCATATCTTTTTTTTTTCACGCAACAATTGTGCATTGTTTTGTGTTGCTTGTTGGATTTTTTTTTTCAGCAGAGTAAATTATTGAAGAGACTTAATTATAAAATCCACATTAAACACAACCACTTCAAAATGTGGCACACATTACAAATATACATCGGACAATAAATATGGTGTCGTATACACACAAATATACATCGGACAATAAATATGGTATGTCGTATACACACAAATATACATCGGACAATAAATATGGTATGTCGTATACACACAAATATACATCGGACAATAAATATGGTGTCGTATACACACAAATATACATCGGACAATAAATATGGTATGTCATACACACACAAATGACAAATTTCAGCAGTGTTAAACATAGTTTGATACTATGTATCTTGACCAAAACAAATCAGTAACGGTTATATGTATATCGATGTGTTGATTTTTTGAATTATTAAAAAGTTCTCTAGCAACTGCTGGTGGGTTAACCTTTCAGTTCAGTTGGTGGGTAGGCATTCGTGTGGCGTGCGAGAGGTCTAAGGTTCGATCGTGACCCAATATAAAACATTGTATTTTTGCATTTCCCATGAAACCCGGACGTGGCTTAATGTTTAGAGTGTCTGGATTGTGAATTAGGATCCCAAGTTTGCGTCCCGGTGCCGCAGAAACGCGTTCCGCAATTTTCAGACCGTGAATGCACTTTACAAGTAACAGTGAAATTCCACTATTCGTCCAGGCAATAGTAACTCAAGAATTGTGAAGTATGTGCTGTTGACTGGCTGCCTTTCCTCTAGTCTATCAGTTCAGAGTTAGGGACGGCTATAATTAGATAGGTCTTAAACAGCTGGGCGGAAAATTCTAAACAACAACATATCCTATTAAGAATGCTGGTAAAGCGCTTTAAAACAATTCAAGCTGTTACACGTGCGAATAAAAAGTGCTGATTACGTAGATGTACAGTAACTGAGTATATGTATTATATGTAAGTTGTTACACGTGGGCATAAAAACTGCTGGTTACACAGATGTACAGTAAATGAGTACATGTATTATATGTAAGGCTATAATCTATATGAAGAAGAAACGCGCTCAAGGACAAGTACTTCTTTGCATGTTTAAAACAAATTACATCATAATTTTGTTGTTTATTGCTTCAAAATAAAAGAAGAAAATATGTATGACGTTAAATAATTGATACTATTACCTTGTTTAACTAAACGAACTATAGGTGTTCTACCGGTTTCACCCTTTGTTGAGCAAGAGTGTTAGGGACAGAGATGAAAAACAAAATAATCATGGTTGCTTTCCATTGGCCTTATAGAAAGTGGACAAACCACTTTTGTTTACATCTTGATAATTCTTTGAGCTTTGCTTTGGGTCTCATACGTGAACTTTCCTTTCAGTACCTGCGTGACTACACTTTACAGTGGTGGGATCGAAAACACAAGTAAGTATTGTATGAGATTCAAGTAACAGGTTTCTAATAAGGTTTAGGAAGACGTAATATTCGAGTATTTTCAAATTAGATGTACTTTGTAAGATAGTTTTCTATTTATTGATACGGACCTGAAAAATGCTATATTTAAATAAGAATTCGTAATCGTTATTAGCTAGTGACAATACTGTTTAAATAATTATATAGGTTTAGACTTAAACTACTGTAGCAAACATTTAAATTCTGCAAGATAAAAAGCAAAATCCAATGTTTCAGCGGTAATAGAAAATACTAAACCATGTGCTGATTCATTGCAATAATAAATTGGCAAACAACATTTCATAAGCACAATGAAATGGTATATTTTTTGGAGAACATGCATATAGTATATAGTAGAGACGGTTGATGTGGGTATTATAAACTTTTATTTAAAACATAAAACAAGTAACAACGCTTTGACCTGCTTAGGTCATCATCAGGTTAAGAATGATTTTGTAAAAGTGACCGTTATAAGTCTTATGATCAATAACGGTAACTTTTTCAAAGTCATTATTAATCTGATGATGACCTGAGCAGGTCAAAAGGATGTTATTTATTTTGTATTTTAAATAACAGTTTATAATACCCACATCAGCCGTCTCTACTTTACATTTACTTCAAGTGGGTTCATCGACATCGTGAATACATGAAAAAGAAAACTAGTTTCAACGTTTAACTTGTTTAATATATTTAGCTACGTTGTTCTTATTTGAGTTAAATTTTTATAATTCTGTTCTTTAACTTATGAGATGAATAAACGTTGAAATAATTAACTTCAATGTACAATTTTTGAGGGGAATTTTCATATTTAAACTATTCTGAAAGTGGATTTTATTTTTAAGTTAAACTTTCAGAAATCTAACCCGTGCTTCATTATATAGATTCTGTTCATTCCATTTGTGTTAATGGCTTTAAGGAGAAAATGATATCACACGATTATTTTTAGATTCTTTTCAAACGTTTATATGTAAACATATTTTGTAGTCTCAAACAATTCTTAAGATATATTCATAGACATTTTTTCCATCTATTGAATTAAATTATTTACAGATACATAAAATATTTTTCTAATAATTCAAAATTAATTACTACGGTTTTTGTTTGTTTGCTGTTAAGCTTAGTTTGAAGTTAAGCACAAAGCTACACAATGGCCTATCTGTGCTCTGCCCACCTCGGGTATCGAAACCCGGTTTCTTGCATTGTAAGTCCGCAGATATACCGCTGTGCCACAGGGGGCATGCTGTTAAGCACAGGACTAAATAATGGATTATATGCTTTTAGCCCACAGCCATAGGGAGCTGAGCCATAGGGAGGCATAATATTATATGATAATCATAAAGACGTTTCTGAAAATGATTATATATTATACAAATCGTGATCAGTTCCTAGCTGCTCATTACTACTTGATCCAATGGGAAAACCTCCTTCAACCTCATTGTCCACCCCACAGTTACTCAACGGTAAGCTCGAGGGCTTATAATGTCAAAATTCAGGGTTCTATCCCAGCGGTAGGCATATCACAGACAGTCTATTGAGCAGCTATGTGTTTAACAACAAATAAAACTCAAACGCAGTATAATGTAGGGCGTTCTTGTATAGTTTGGTATTTGCAATAATAATAATAAAATGTTTGCATGATTGTGTGGTTCACTTGATTTTAATAGCAGTAATAGTATTTAATAATAACAACAATAAATATATCGGTATAGTTATGGAGGTTCATGTGATTTCAAAAGTAATACTAATAATGTTTAATAATAAGAATAATAAAGACGTTGATACAATTGTGATTTTAAGCCCCAAGTGGCAGAGCGGCATGTCTGCGGACTTACAACGCTAGAAACATGGTTTCGATATCCGTGGTGGGCAGAGCAAAGACAGCCCATTGTCTTGCTTTGTGCTAACTTCAAACAAATGTGATTTTAAAGTAGTTATAGCATTTTCTAATAACTAGCGAAAGTAACTGACTTCGCTCGGGTTATTAATTGGGTACTTTCGCTAGTTTGTAATATAAGGAACCACTTCTTTTCTGTGTGGTTCTTCGCTAGCTTGCCTCATTAAAAAGATGCGGACCCAATCTTTAGCGTCATAAGCAAAAAGTAATACCATGTATAATTTCTTAAAAATTGGCAGAAGCCGTAAAACTGAGAATCTAGAACTTGGGACGGTTTTTACTTAAAATCTGAAATTTGAGAGAGATTCCTGTATTCTAAAGTTCTAAACACTTTTTAAACACTCTAATCCCAAAAGTTTTCTTAATAATTAACATTTAAAACTTTGAAAAATGCTTTCATTCTAAATATCTAAAATTTGAGAAATTTCGTAAGTCTGTTAAATCTCGGAGGGATTCGTAATTATAAATATCTTGAGATATACATTATACATGTAGGCACATGTATGTACGCTAAATTGAATCTGTCCACCAAACATGCTCGTCTTTTCAGATGTGGGAGTGTTATAATGTGATGATCAGCCCCTCTTTTCGTTGGTAAAAAGAGTAGTCTAAAAGTTGGTGGTGGGTGACGTTGACTAGCTATCTTCTCTTTAGTCTATCACTTCAAAATTAATGACGGTTAGCATAGATAGCCCTCGAGTAGCTTTGTGCGCGAAATTCCAAAACAAACTTCAATCTTGAGCATCCTATACATACATACATACTTGATAGTACCGAAGTGTCGCAAGCATGCAAGCTACTTCATGTGATCAGTTTTTCGTTTTAAAGGAATTTGCCTACCGATTTAACATGATGGCGGCAGGCATTATTATCCAAATTGCTGAATGAAAGGCCAACCAAAAAAAACAATCTTAAGATGGGAACCTTATAATGTGTAACATTTAATGGTACCACTTAAAATGTAAAGGTCAGAACGTTCATTAACCACCCCCTCGAAAAACGTAAAATTCGCTTCTTGTCCAGGAATACAAACCAAAGAAAATAAATCTTCCAAACTATTTTTGTGCCATCGATTATTGAGAAAATGAATAATGGAAAAGTTTCGGCAATAAATCCAATGACTTCAGATAATATCATGAACACTTTAAATATCTAAGAACAATTGTTTTTGATAAATACTGTGTATAAGATTACCAAACCACAAATAACAGTAGTTTGGTCATTCTAAGGGTTGTTCAAATCATAAATAATATTATTTTTGTACTTCTAAGGGTTGTTCAAATCCTTAATAATAGTATTTTTGATATTTCTAAAGGCTGTTCAAATTCTAAATAACAGTAGTTTCGTATTTCTAAGGGTTGTTTCCCGTCTCTGTGAGTTAATTTCAAAGGATTATGTACTGCCAACAAATGGACAGAAAACTCTTTTTGATTCCATGCAGCTTTATCTCATGCTGTTTGACTGACTGAAGTGCTTGCATGAATACAAAAGTGGATTTATAGAGGGAAAGACAAATGAATACTTTTTTTGGGAAAATTGTTGGTAATAAGAACGACAGGTATCTAGAATTATTTCTTTTAGTTTTAAGAACTTCAAAAATTGTTTCTCATTATGCAGTGTATGGTGGAATAATCCTGAAGTGTAGTTGTTTCTTGTCACGAAGAAAAATTACCTGTATAATGGTCATGTAAGTATTGTCACGAATCTCTTTCAGTTGGCTTCAGTGTTAGTTCAGATGTGATGTTCTACAAGTGATGCAACGATTAGAAGTTACTGAAGACAAGTTTCCAATAAGAGACCCTTTTTTATGTTTTATCTCACAAAAAAGCCTCAAATCATACGAATGCTTAAACGGATGTGTTCTTTGCGAACGACAGAAAAACATATCAGAATTAAGCATCTTATTTTACACAAGCTGAAATACCCGTCATCTTATGGAGAATGTTTAAATATAATTAAAACAATGCACGTTTAACAGCAATCATATATTTCAAAGAATAACTTGAACATAAACTTTATCTCAAAATTTTAAAATTACAACAAAGCTTCTTCATAAACAACGTTTGCAGTTTGCTTTCCATCAACCAACAAATCAAGATTTTGACCATGAGGAAAGTATGGTTGTTTGAGAAACAATTAAATAACTTTCATACTTTGATCTTAAATCCCTTTAGAATATTCAACATTGTCTAAAGAGCTAATTTTTTTAGATTGACTCAATAGACTTAAAGTAATTAACAAAATAGAAATAGGGTTAAGCTCAATTTTGACCCCCTTCGTACATTCCCTATAGTTGATAATGTTTAGATACAAATTTTGGTTGAGATTGACCCAATAGGCTCGGAGGAGTTAGAATGCAAACATTATCTCTTAACGCACAATTAATAAATTAACATGTGAAGAATCCATAAAAAACGTGCAGTTGATAAAAGAGACGTCGAAACATACATGAGTTCAAGGAAAATAGACGAGAAGAGTGGAATACATTATACCTTACAATTGTCAAATCATGTATTCTTATTACGGGGAGAGAGAACTGAGTTAAAATTAGGACTTTAATATAGATAGCATGGTTTATTTGAAAAAAACATTAATAAGTACATTTTTATAAGAATGTCATAAAACATTAACAATTGTATTCAATTAGTAGGTATCATAAGACTATATTTGTGGATGGGAGAACATACTAAATAAGTGGTTCTGCTTAGACTAAGGTAATGACTAGATGTCGCTTTTCCATAGAGTAATATTCAGGGAAGGAAAATATCCCTAATTCAAAGTTCAAATCCCTCCCATGCCGAGTTCGCACTCAGAATTCGGTACTGAACACCCACTTAATTAGCACAAGCAGGTGAGAATTGTGACACATTCTTCCCGGACAAGATACTAGTCCACTGAATGTCAACCCTCAGCTAACAGCTGGTTAGATTGAAAGAATTGAAGTAAAGTCTCTTGCTCAAGAACACAACAGCATGATGCGAGCCAGACACTCGAACTCCGGACAATCTGAATAAGAGTCTAAAGGGCAAAGCTACTGAACCACGCTATCCTTGAAAGTTTGACAATTCTTCGGAAGGTT